GGGGGGGGGGGTGGGGGGGGGGGGGGGGGGTATATATGAAAAAAAAAACAAAATTAAAATATGAGTAAATTTTACAAAACCCTAAAATAAGTATAGGTGTTTAAAGTAAATATCCCCAAAATCTTTGAAATTTTCACTGAACCTCCAATAACTTCTAGAAAAAAACCCTCAAAATTAACATGGTTATTTCTTGTGTGAAATCGACGGTTGATTCCATTGTGTTAGCCCATGAAATGCTCCACCAATGTTTCTCTAAGAAGCTGGAGGCCTGTATCCTCAAGCTTGACTTCAGCAAAGCCTTCGATTGTGTAGGGTGGGACTTCCTCTTATCCCTGCTCGAGGCTAGAGGCTTTGGCCCCAGATGGTGTTCCTGGATCAAATCCTCCCTCGTTTCCTCCAAGTCTTCTGTCCTTGTCAACGGCACTGCTTCTAATTCTTTCGTCTGCCACAGAGGCCTCAAGCAGGGGGACCCCCTCTCCCCCATGCTCTTTCTCCTGGTAGCTGACGTCCTCTGTAGGATGCTTCTCAGCAGCAGCGACCATGGAGATCTCTCAGATCTTAACCTCAAGGGTCATCTAAATGACATCAAATCTCTGCACTTTGCTGACGACACCATCATCTTCTGTAAAGCTTCTGTGCCAGACATCACTAACCTCAAATCGATCCTCTACCTCTTCGAAAGCACCTCTGGACTGGCCATCAATTTCGCCAAATCCAACCTCCTATACAGCGGCAAATCCTCATCCTCTGGAGCTATGCTGGCCAATATCCTCAACTGCTCACTGGCCTCCCCTCCCATTAAGTATCTTGGCCTCCCCCTCAAAAGGGGTTCTCTCTCCAGATCAGATTGGCTCCCTCTTCTGGACTCCCTCCATCGCAAACTATCCACTTGGAAAAGCAAATTTTTGTCCATCGGGGGTCGCCTCGTCCTCCTGAAATCAGTCCTCTCTTCCTTACCAGTTTACTACATGTCCTTCTTCAAACTTCCTCCTTGGGTCATCAAGCGCATCGATCGCATCAGGCGCAACTTCTTATGGGGCAAGTCCCCAGACAATTCCAAAGGCAATAACCCTGTCAATTGGAGAACTGTTTGTTCCCCCAAAGCCAGCGGAGGTCTGGGTGTGATTAACCTTCATCTTTTCAACCGTGCCCTCCTCTCCAAATGGCTATGGCGCTATCATGATACCTCCAGCTATGTAGGGAGGGACCCAAGTGCAAGCTCTTCTAGACCATCTATCCTCTCTCAACCTTGCTCCTTCACCCTCCGCAGTCTGCCCTGACAGCCCATCTTGGTCGCTATCAGCCTCAAAATCCTTCTCAGTTAATTCCCTTCGCCGCTTCCTAGCAGATGGAGGTATGAGATCCAAACACCTTCCATCCATATGGAACAACTTCCTGCCAAGTAAAGTTCAGATTTTCTTCTGGCTCCTAAGCTCTCTTAGATTGAAGACTAAGGATAGACTAGCCTCTCAAGGGTGACTAGCTGACTCCAGTTGCAGCTACTGTCCAGAACAAGAATCTCACGACCACCTGTTCTCCTCTTGCATCCGGACTCAAGTTATCTGGTCACCCTTCCTCCTTAAGTTAGGCATGGCCTCCCTCCCTGCTAGCACATCCAAGTGTCTAGATCTCTGTTCAGACCCAACTGTCCACGCCTCCACCCGCCTCTTATGGAGTGTATGCTTTCCTACCATCAGCTGGGTCCTGTGGCACGATCGTAACAATTTGATCTTCCGCAACAGCTCATCTTCGCCCCATAGCATTATTAAGAAGTCTGTTAACTTCATTCTTCTCTGGGCAGGGGCCTCCAACTCCAAGAAATCGCTCGAGATCAAGAAGCTCATTCAAGACGTAGGGCTCTCAGATATCCTTGAATCAAGCGAGGACAGCAACTCGTCGCCTTGAACCGTTTCCCCCCAAGCTGGCTCCTGCTCTTATCGCTGTGGGTTATTTTGGTGCAGCAGTTAACATCCTATTTTTTTCTTTTGTTTTAGAGTGACTTATACTGTACATTTCTGGTTGAATTTTGTAATCTCTCCTTTGACATCCACTACTGATTTGGCCTTGTTCTCCACCTCGGAGCAGCAGCCTGAATCAGTAGTAGATATCATTTTTTGTTCCATCCCACCTTGGGCTTCAGTAATATATTGATAGGGAAATCCCTATTTTCACTCAAAAAAAAATGATTAAAATATCTCTAGATAAATTTTGGTGGAAAGCCCAATAAGTTTTACTTGTTGTAGTTAAACACCAATAATATTTAGCAAGAAACCCTAAATAATGGATGTTTATAATTTTTAGATTTTTCTAGAGGTTTGTTTGCAATTTTTAGATTTTCAAAATGTTTGCAATTTTTTATTTTGAAGGGGTTTGTTTGTATTTTGGATTTTTTTCGCATGCTGTTTGTAATTTTTAGTTTTTTGGGTTTTTATAAGTTTTTCCCTTTTTTTTGTAATTCTAAAATTTAAAGGGTCAGTTTGTAATTTTCATATTTTAAGGGCTTATTTGCAATTTAGATTTTTTAGGGTCCTATTTTTCATTTTTTTCATTTTTATGGTTTTTTGTAATTTTCATATGTTTTACGCATTTATTTGAACTTTATTGTTTATATTTTTTAGATATTATAGGGTATTGTTTGTCATTTTTAGATTTTATAATGGGTTACCTATTGTTGATGCTCGTAAACAAACAGTCGATGAAGGTTTCAGAGTTGTTAGATTGGCGAAAGATTGGATCGTCGAGAGGGATGGGGGGCCGCTTTCCTCTTCAACTTTACGTCTGGTTCTTAGAGCTCGGGGCGGGGCAGATCTCCTGAACACACAAGAATCACCAGAGCGCGGGGCTTGTTTCCTCCGTGGTAACTCCGACGATCAAGTCAGGTAGCAAATTTAGGTAGATTTGTGGGGGAATCAGGTATATGCCTTATATATGACTATATGATTTCTTTTCTAGTAGTTAGAGAGTTCGAACCTCTTTTTAGGATGAATAGCGTCTCTATTTATAGAGGATGCCAAGGGAAGAACAGGCTTTTTAGTGAGAAGGCGGATCATGATGATAGCGAGGGGTGAGCTGGAGGCTGAGTCACCCCCTGCCTAACACGCGTCGGTTGATGAATGACGGGGGTCACTTCGGGGACATAGGGGCTCTGCAACCGTCGTGGCTTGTTGGTAGGCGACATGGGGTCACCTCTGCAGCATAGGGACCCTACAGCCGTCGTGGCTTGTTGGTAGGCGACGTGGGGTCACTTCTGCAGCATAGGGACCCTTGGAGGGAGAGTCGGCTGGTTGCTGAGTCACAATCTGTGGGCCGACTGCGTCTGCCCTTCGAGTCGTCCTTAGGGAACGAGGTTGGTCCGTCCGAGTCGGTTCTTGGGACGGCGTGTTTGTGAGGAACAGGGGACACCCTATAACACCTATAATTTATGATTTTTTATGGTTCATTATAATTTTAGAATGTTTAGGCTCTTTTTTTTCCTTATTAGATTTTTTAGGATTTTTTGTAATTTTAGATTTTTAGGGACTTATATATATTTTTTATTTTTCAGGTGTTTGTTCGTAATATCCTAATTTCTAGGTTTCTATAAATTTTAGAAATTTAAAGGTGGTAGTTTGTAACTTTTATATTTTATGTATGTTTCTTGTATTTTTAAATTTTTTTTAAAAAAGTATTTATAATCTTATATTTTTGGGATTGTTTGTGATTTCATAGATTGGCTTGCAAATAGGAATGATTTGAGTGTCATATACTTGGTTTGAGGGTTAATTTTTGTCAATATAAAAGTATGAGGTTACGCCATTTATCGAGGTTAAGTGCAAAAAGTTAAAATATGTTGAGGCTTGAATCAGAGATATGCAGGTGTGAATAACCGCAATGCCTCCTTTTTGATAGTTCAACTCATTCAAAATGAGCAGCGTGATAATACCAAGTATATGGTAATCTGATTA